CCTATGGGGCCACGAAACGTGTGAGGGGTGTGCCAGATGGGGGGTGGAACCGCATGCGGGCGCAGCCACTGGGGCCTTCGTGGGAGCTCCCCCCCCCACCCCCTCTCCTCCCCCATGCGCCCCCCCCCCCCCCCCCCTCTCCCCTATTCCCTCGCCCTACTGGGGGCCACGAAAGTTGTGAGGGCGTCTGTGCCAGAATGGGGGGTGGAACCGCATGCGGCCGCAGCCACCTGGGGCCTTCGAGTGGAGGCTCCCTATGGGGGCCACGAAACGCGTGAGGGTGTGTTGCAGAATGGCTGGTGGTGGACCGCATGCGGCGCGCGCACGGGGGCCTTCGGTGGAAGCTCCATATGGGGCACGAAGGCGTGTGAGGGGTGTGCCAGAATGGGGGGTGGAACCGCATGGCGGGCGCAGCCAACTGGGGCCTTCGGTGGGGCTCCCTATGGGGCCACGAAATGTGGGAGGGTGTGCCAGAATGGGGGGTGGAACCGCATGCGGGCGCAGCAACTGGGGCCTTCGGTGGAGCTCCATATGGGGCCACGAAACGTGTGAGGGGTGTGCCAGAATGGGGGGTGGAACCGCATGCGGGCGCAGCCACTGGGGCCTTCGGTGAAGCTCCCTATGGGGCCACGAAACGTGTGAGGGGTGTGCCAGAAATGGGGGGTGGAACCGCATGCGGGCGCAGCCACTGGGGCCTTCGGTGAAGCTCCCTATGAGACCACGAAGCGGCGAGGGGTGTGCCAGAAATGGGGGGTGAACCGCATGCGGGCGCAGCCACTGGGGCCTTTCGGTGGAGCTCCTTAAGGGGACACGAAACGTGTGAGGGGTGTGCCGACGTTGGTGGGTGGGGCGCATGTGGACGGTGGCACTGGGGCCCTCTCTGGATCTCCTATGGCGCCACGAAGCGTGTGAGGGGTGTGCCAGAATGGGGGGTGGAACCGCATGGCGGGCGCAGCCCAATGGGCCTTCGGTGGAGGCTCCCTAGGGGCAACGAAAACGTGTGAGGGGTTAATTGTGCCAGAATTGGGGGGGTGGAACTGCATGCGGGCGCAGCCACTGGGGCCTCGGTGGAGCTCCCTATGGGGCCACGAAAGTGTGAGGGTTGTTGCCAGCATGGGAGGGGTGGAAAACCGCAGCGGGCGCGCAGCCACTGGGGCCTTCGGTGGAGCTCCTATGGGCCCACGAAACGTGTGAGGGGTACTGTGCCAGAATGGGGGGTGGAAACGCATGCGGGCGCAGCCACTGGGGCCTTCGGTGGAGCTCCCTATTGGGGCCACGAAAAGTGTGAGGGGTGTGCCAGAACGGGGGGTGGAACCGCATGCGGGCGCAGCCACTGGGGCCTTCGGTGGAGCTCCCTATGGGGCCACGAAACGTGTGAGGGGTGTGCCAGAATGGGGGGGGGAAACCGCATGCGGGCGCAGCCACTGGGGCCTTCGGTGGAGCTCCCTATGGGGCCACGAAACGTGTGAGGGGTGTGCCAGAATGGGGGGTGGAACCGCATGCGGGCGCAGCCACTGGGGCCTTCGGTGGAGCTCCCTATAGGGCCACGAAACGTGTGAGGGGTGTGCCAAAATGGGTGTGGGAGGGGGAGGAGGGGGGAGGAAGGGGAGGAGGAGGAAGGAGGAGGAGGAAGGAACGCGGGGCGACGTCTCTTCAAAACGAGGACCCAACACCACCGGATGGTTGGGAAAAACACGTGGTGTTGCAACACTGATGTGCTAAAAAAACTTACGCGCGAGCTCTTGCGAAATCGTATAAGAAACCCATGATTTGTGCAAGATTCTCACAAAATGCTATCAAACGGGCTTCGCGCGCGCGCATGCCGAAATCTGTCGAACGCCCTTGCGCGTGTGCCGTCGCGACAGTCCGCTGCAAAAAACGAAAAGAAATGCCGACGCGCGCGTCGTCGCGCGCGTATGCCGAAATCCTTCAAAACCCATCGGTGTCGGAAGGATTTCAATCATGTGTCCAAAAAGCCTACAAAAACACAAGGTTTTACTTTACCCTTTTTCTCTCCTTATTTGGTTTTTAACTTGTCTGGCTTTTTTTTTTTTTTCCCTTTTTTTACCTTCGATTTTTTTGCGTTTTTTTTCGATCTCCCCTTTATCAGCATCAGCATCTGTCTCATCCCTCTCCTCGTCGTATCATAATCAGCGTCGCGTCCTTCCTCCTTCTTCGTTCGTTCGCGTCGCCCCCCCCCCCCCCCCCCTCGCCGTCCTCCCTCCTCCCTCGTCGTTGTCGTCGTTGTCGTCGTTGTCGTCGTTGTCGCCGTCGTCGTCCTCCCTCCTCCCTCGTCGTCGTCTTCGTTGGCGACGTCGTCGTCGTCTTCATCGTCGTCGTCGGCGTCGTCGTCTTCGTCGTCGTCGATGGCGGAGTCGTCGTCGTCGCTGCCGTCGTCGTCGTCGTTCGGCGGCGTCGTTGACGTCGTCGTCGTCGTCGGTGTCGTTGTTGTCGTCGTCGTCGGTGTTGTCATCGTCGTTGTCGTTGTCATCGTCGTCGTCGTCTGCGTCGATGTCGTCGTCGTCGTCGTCGTCGGTGTCGTCGTCATCGTTGTTGTCGTTGTCGGCGTCGTCGGATTCGTTGGAGACGTCGTTGGTGTCGATGTAGTCGATGTCGGTGGCGTCGTCGTCGTCGTTGTCGCTGTCGTGGTCGGCGTCGCTGTCGCTGCCAACTGCCATGTGGTACCCACCGCCACGGTGTTAAGAGATGTTGCAAACCAAGTTGCGGGTGGGTGGGTGCGATGCTTGCGCGAGCAGTAGAGTGGACAACTCACTGCGAACAGAAATTAATTGCACAATATGGGATGCACTACTATAGGTTGAACCACATAGGTTGTACAAGCTGGACCGTACCACATAGCTCGTACAACTTACCATGCAACGTGTATGGATCTATGTTTACACATCTACATGCATATATATATATATATGTGTATATACATAAGTACATATATATATACATATATATATTGCACAACAAAGATTGACTCGCATAGAATGCACCGCATGGATTGCACTACGTGTGTTGCAACACATTCGCTGCGCAACCTAGATCGCACAACAAACAATGGACCACATAGATCCTCCTTTCTAAAACAACATAGAGTCAACCCCACCCACCCACCCACCCACCCACCCCCGGGATTCTCCGCCCCCCCCTTTTTCGTGTTGCAACGTACGCGCGATATTGCCCCATCGTGCATTGTACATATGAACTCGTACCATCCCAACCCATTCGGCATCCCCCCTCACCATCCCCGGGAGAAAATGTTATGTGCGCGCACTCGTTTATCAAAAATCACAACCTTTTTTCAACAACCACTTACAACAAAAAACGAAATGCACACGCGCGCGCCGTCGCGCGCGCAAGAGAAGAAATGAACAGACAAGAAAAGGAAAACAAAGAAAACGCAAGGATGTCAACATCGAGTGTCAAATAAACAAAATGAAAGCACATGGTTTCGCAACATGCAAGGTCAAACAACTCAAACGCGCGATGCTGCTAATTGTTTTGATCAACAGACACACGTGTGTATGTATGCATATCTACATATATGTGTATATACACGGATGCACGTGTATATATATATACATAGGTGTGTGTATGTGTGTGCGCGAATGCGCAGATAGATTCATCATTTCCATACATATGTTATCAAACGGTCTTCGCGCGCGGGCACGTCGAAATCGTTCGAACGCCCATGCGCGCGCGCCGTCGCGAGAACCCTTTTTGCATAAAATGAAACGGAATGCACGCGCGCGCGTCGTCGCGCGCATGCCGACATCCGTCGAAAACCATAAGTTTCGCAACGGTTTCAAAATCGAATGCCCTAGAATCGAATGGTTTCGCAACACAGCTCTCATAGAAAAGGCGTGCGATCGCGCTCTTGCGATTTCATACGAAAACCATCGGCTTCTCAACGCGTTCATGCAATTGTCCCAAACTGGCCTCTGGCGCCGCATGCCAAAATGATTCGCGCGCCCTTGCGCGCGCCAGGGAAGCACGATCCGCGCCGAATCAGACCACGCGGGCCACTCGCGCGCCGGCCGCGCGCGCATGTCGAACTCTTTCCAAAATCACCATCACCGACGCGAGGACGCCGTCATCGTCGCCGGCGCGATCAACATCCGCGCCGCAACGGGCCGCGCCGTCATCGCTGTCAACATCGCCACCAGCATCGCTGCTATAATCGCCGCGTCGACCGCTGTAGACGTCGCCATGATACGCGCACACATACGCGCGCACACGCACACGCACACGCACGCGCACACACACACACAGACAAACGCACACACAGTTGTTTGTTTCTCGCGTCGGCGGTCAGGCAGAGGGCGACTGCGCTGGCGATGAAAGGCTTAAACGTGTATGCCGTGCAGCGAATTGCGCCACCACGCAAGAGGGGGAAGGAGGCAGGACGCGGCCGAAGGAAAACAAAGACGGGGCGGGAAGCGCACGCATACACACACGCAGAGACTTACGAGCAGCACCACGACTGCGCTGAGAGACCAAGGCAAAAAATGCAATGGTGAGCGCAAGACCGACCAAGATAGACCACTCGACGCGTCGCCAACTCTGTTTTGGCGAATCTGGACACGCTGCACTTTCTCACTGGCAAAACATGTGGCGCACATGCGAATGCTTCATTGCGCCGCGATTTACCGCGAACGAAAGTACGCACTGAGCCAAACTGCGTCCGTGAGGAGTATAGCCGCGGCTCATCTGCGGAGGGCGTGGATTTCCTCCGCTCTGGCGTAGAGAGCCTTCACCTCCGGCTTCGACCCGCCGATGGCCACCTCGCCCTTGAGGTTCAAGGCCTTCCCTTCCTGTCCGCACCGACGCTCTCGGTCCACATCTCGATGGCACTGTAGCTCTTCTTCCTGGCTGCGGAGGCCTTTCCGAAACGATGTTCCCACGCTTGTTCTTCAAGAGATTCCCCTTTGTAGGGCCAGAGGCCGTCTGTTCCTTTGTCCCGCGCAGCACCTGAGCCCTGCCGCTCTTGCCCCGGGCGATCTTGCTGACGCGCTTCGCCTTCATGGACTGACTTCATAGCATCTTTTGAAGGACCCTTCATGGGCGTGGCCTTGTTCATCGGAAACGGCACTGGTGGAATACATATTCAAAAAAACTGTAAGCACGCGCGACATTTTGATCGTCCTCCCGAGCCCGACCCTTGAGTCAAAACGGCAACGTAAACACCCAAAATGGCACCACATGCTTCCAGACAGTATCAGCACGCCCAGCACTATCCCACCTGGCGGATCGAACTCAGCAGCAACTCGAATATCCCGTGTTGCTGCCACGCAACTATGCATGGTTCGGAAAAGTGCCGGTTAAGACAACAGCAGCTCTCCCGCCCGGGTTGTCGATGTCGTCGTCGCCTTCATAAGCGTCGTCGTTCTCACGTGTGTCACCGTCGCCGTCGTTCGCGTCATCGTCGTCGTCGTTCTCACCGTCCTCGTCGTCATCATCCGTCGTCGTTGTCGCTCTAGTCGTTGATATTCTCGTCGCCAGCGTCGTCGTCGTTGTCGCCCTTGTCGTCGTCGACGTGGTCGTCCTCGTCGTCTTCGTTGGCTTTGTCGTTGCCTTCGTCGTCACTATCGTCCTTCGTCGTCACTATCGTCCATCGTCGGCGTCGCTCTCGTGAATGTTCGGCTAAATGGATTGCACATTACTTCCGTGTCTCGAAAGTTACCTCAAAATCGGTCCCCGTACCCCTCGCGGGGTCCATCCTGACACGTGTCGCGATGCGGATTTAGCCATGGCGACGAGAAACCTCCGGGAGGCAAACACAAAACAAAACAAACAAACGAACAAACAAAAAAACAAAACAAAAACGCCAGGGAGGCCCGCCTTGTCGTCCGGCTTTGAGGTCGTAACTCGGGCCTCTTGCGGCCAGTCGTGACGATCTGGGCACCCCTGGAGCGTCCTTGGCGAGGCGCAGCCACTGTAGGACATCCCGAGGCAAGAGAGCCGACGAGAACGGGCGAAAACGTCCGAAGGCTTCGAGCCCCGAGGCATCCCGAGGCAGGGGAGCCGACGAGAAGCGACGGAAACGTATGAAGACCTCGAGCCCCGAGCCTTCACTGCAAGCGAGCCGCCGTTGTCTCGGCTGGCCCTCCTCCGCCTGGGGCTTCGCCGAGCCTCTCCCTCGCTCCGACGGCCCGCGGGGCGGCCAAGGCCCCCGCCCCGACGGCAAGGGCCTGCGAGGCCCCGACCCGTCGACGCCGGCTCCCACGGTTTTGTCGGGGAGGCGCGAAGGGGGGCAGAGAGGACGAAGAGAAGGCCGAAGAAGAAGACGAGGAAGAGGAAGAAGAAGAAGAAGAAGAAGAAGAAGAAGAAGAGCGAGGAGTCAGCCGAGCCGAACAGCGCCTATTCAGCGGATTATGTCGCCGAACTGAGTGGCTGCTTGGCCGAACAAACGCCGTGGTGAATACATCGAGCCCCTCCTACAGCCCTCTGCGCGGGGTCACCCTCTCGTCGCGCGCGCAGCGCTCGCGCGCGCGCCAGCGCCCGCGATCATCTCGCTCGAGAGCCCACTCGTCACGCGCAAAGCCTTGGCGCGCGAGGAGCGCTGGCGACAGTAGTAGTTGCAGCAGCAGAAGCAATAGGACGGACACGGACACACGGACACCGCACGGACACGGCGCCTGTGCGTCCCGGGGGACGGCCCTACGAGGGAGTAGGCGGTGGCGCCTCGAAGCCATCAGAGAGATCAAAACTGAATGGACAGGTTGGGAAAAAAGTGAGGAAGAACCAACCGCCAATTCAGGCGAGAACTTAGCCGAGCGCCCGATAGGTGGAGCCGCGGCGCCCAAGCCCTGGAGCCGTGGCCCGACGCCGTTCTGACGCACGCCGCGCCGGCCCGTTCACGCGCCCCGCCCCGCCCCGTGAGGGGCAACGATCCAGTCGGGGTTGATTGGAGAGACACACGGGAGGACACAAGACCCTTCCGAGGGCCACATTGCCGTGGGAATGTAGAAGGCATGGGTCGCGAAGCACAGGACACAAGGGCACCCTTGATCTGGCAAAGTCGACATACCAATCAGCCCCGCCTGTAGGGGGGGCAGGCTCAGGAAGGGGGGGCGGGGGGGGGGGAATCGACCTGAAATCGGCGCTACATCGCCGACAGATCGGCAATAGTCCCCCAATAGCGACTCCTTACGTTCCTGGGCGGGGTGGGCTCTCTGGCCCCTGTCTACGATCAATGAGGGATCGGGGCTTCATGCATTGCCCCATGAGCCTATCCCCCCAAACGTTGCCCCTGACCCAACAAGTGCCGTCGCTCCGACGTGCATTCCCCATGCACTGCTTGGCGTCGGCAGTGGTTTCGTCCTCGAACCGACCCTAAATGCCCAAGGATGGTCCAAATGTTCTGGCGCCGGCCTCGCCGAGACAAAAACGCACTCGCCCGAGCGATGCCAAGACCCCCCCCCCGCACCCGCTCGCCTGCCGCTGCGCCGCGGGGCCTGCGCAGCGGGCTCTGGCTGGAGCTCCCGGAGCCTGCGGGGAGACGTGGGCGCTGGGAGAAGGGGGGGGGGGGGGGCGTGGGCGGCGGTGGGGGGCGGTGGATCGCGGGCCCACCTCTTGGGGCCTCCTGGAGTTTCCCAGGGCCTCCGTTCGGCGGCGCCCAGTAGGCCGCAGAGCCTCCAAGAAGGCAAGGGGGGAAGCCCGCCTGGATTCCGAGAAGCCTTCTTAGAAACCTCTGCAGCCTCCAAAGCAACCTTACAAAAAGCCCGCCAATCTCGAAGGCTGCTCCCCTCGCGCCACCCCTTGCGTGGGCACCGCCAATCCTTGAGCTCATGTACGAGAACGGCGCCCAGCCACCGTACCACGTCTGGACTCCCCCCAGGCCCCGGTCTAGCGCGCGGCGCACGGCTTTTTCCTTTTCCGTTCCTCTTTCCTCCTCCTCCCCCTCCTCCTCCTCCTCCTTGTTCTCCTCCTCCTCCTCCTCCTCCTCCTCCTCCTCCTTTTCCTCATCCTCCTCCTCATCCTCCCACCCCCCTCTTACTCTTGCTTCTCCACCAAAAAGGCCAATTGGAGAAGAGCTGCCACGAAACCTTGTTATTCACAGGTGGCGTGTGCTTTTTTGGTCAGTGATACCACGAAGCACTGCTATTCACATGTTTGTTTGTTATTCTCTTGTTTTCAAAAGTCTGCAAACTTCGCCAGGAGGCTGGTGGACGGAGAAAACCCAGAAACACTTGTGAATAGCAGTATTTCGTGGCATGGCGTCGAGAAAACCATGATATTCACTGTTTTTTTACCTAACAGCGAAGACTGATAGGTTTCCAGTTGACTCAAAAGAGCTCACAGATCACTCCACAGGGGGGTCCGGGCAGGCGTTGGGAGTTGCCGGCCGGGCCTGTGCCGGGCTCGTTTTTCACCAACAGTCACACACTTCGTGCTCGTCGACCTCTCAGAACCCCATTCCCAGGCCACATTCTGAATAACCGGATGCAACAGTCATACACTTGGTGCTCCTTGACCTCCCAGAACGCCATTCCCGGGCCACATTCGGAATAGCCGGACGCAACAGTCATACAATTCCTCGTACTTGACACCCCAGAACTCCATTCCCGGGCCACATTCTGATTAACGGGATGCAACAGTCACACATATCGAGCTCTTTGGCATCCCAGAACCCCATTCCCAGGCCACATTCGGAATAACAGGATGCAAGAGTCACACACTTCGTGCTCCGAGACCTCCCAGAACGCCATTCCCAGGCTACATTTGGAAAAAACGCACACAACAGGTATACACGCCGGGCTATCTGGCTGTCTGGAACGGCAATCCCGGGATACATTCAGAGTAATCCCACGCGACAGTCACACACTTTGTGCTCTGTGACCTCTCAGAACTTCATATCTGGGCGACACTCCTGGGCAACACTCGTTCTCTCACTATCATTTCGTTTTTTTGTTACTCTTTTTTTACCTAACAGCGTAGACTGATAGGTTTCTAGTTGACTCAAAAGAGCTCACAGATCACTCCACAGGGGGGTCCAGGCAGGCGTTGGGAGTTGCCGGCCGGGCCTGTGCCGGGCTCGTTTTTCACCAACAGTCACACACTTCGTGCTCGTCGACCTCTCAGAACTCCATTCCCAGGCCACATTCTGAATAACCGGATGCAACAGTCACACACTTCGTGCTCTTCGACCTCCCAGAACTCCATTCCCGGGCCACATTTTGAATGCCCGGAGCCAACTGTAGGCCACTTCGTGTCTTCGAGTTCCCAGAACTTCATTCCTGGGCATGATTTTGAATGCCCGGAGCCAACTGTAGGCCACTTCGTGGTGTTCGAGTTCCCAGAACTCCATTCCTGGGCATGATTTTGAATGCCCGGAGCCAACTGTAGGCCACTTCGTGGTGTTCGAGTTCCCAGAACTCCATTCCTGGGCATGATTTTGAATGCCCGGAGCCAACTTTAGGCCACTTCGTGTTCTTCTAGTTCCCAAAACTCCATTCCTGGGCCACATTTTGAATGCTGAGGCAGGCTGATGCTGCGGCCGAGGCAGGCTGAGGCTGAGGCAGGCTGAGGCTGAGGCCGAGGCTGAAGGCAGACTGAGGCTGAGGCTGAAGCAGACTGAGGCTGAGGCTGAGGCAGGCTGAGGCTGAGGCAGAGGCAGGCTGATGCTGAGGCAGGCTGAGGCTGAGGCTGAGGCTGATGCAGGCTGAGGCTGAGGCAGGCTGAGGCTGAGGCCGAGGCTGAAGGCAGACTGAGGCTGAGGCTGAAGCAGGCTGAGGCTGAGGCTGAGGCAGGCTGAGGCTGAGGCTGAGGCAGACTGATGCTGAGGCAGGCTGAGGCTGAGGCTGAGGCTGATGCAGGCTGAGGCTGAGGCAGGCTGAGGCTGAGGCCAAGGCTGAAGGCAGACTGAGGCTGAGGCCGAAGCAGGCTGAGGCTGAGGCTGAGGCAGGCTGAGGCTGAGGCTGAGGCAGGCTGATGCTGAGGCAGGCTGAGGCTGAGGCTGAGGCTGATGCAGGCTGAGGCTGAGGCAGGCTGAGGCTGAGTCCGAGGCTGAAGGCAGACTGAGGCTGAGGCTGAAGCAGGCTGAGGCTGAGGCTGAGGCTGAGGCAGGCTGAGGCTGAGGCTGAGGCAGGCTGAGGCTGAGGCAGGCTGAGGCTGAGGCTGAGGCTGATGCAGGCTGAGGCTGAGGCAGGCTGAGGCTGAGGCCGAGGCTGAAGGCAGACTAAGGCTGAGGCTGAAGCAGACTGAGGCTGAGGCTGAGGCAGGCTGAGGCTGAGGCTGAGGCAGGCTGATGCTGAGGCAGGCTGAGGCTGAGGCTGAGGCTGATGCCCAGGCTGAGGCAACGTCAGGCTGAGCTGAGGCAAGGCTTAGGAGGCTGAGGCAAGGCTGAAGGCAGACTGAGGCAGAGGCTGAAGCAGGCTAGGCTGAGGCTGAGGCAGTGCTGAGGCTGGGCAGCGGCAGGCTGATGCTGAGGCAGGCTGAGGCTGAGCTCATGCAGAGGCATTCTGAAGCTGAGGCAGGCTGAGGCTAGAGGCCCGAGGCTGCAGGCAAACTCAGGCTGAGGCTGAGGCTGAGGCAGGCTGATGCTGAGGCAGGCTGAGGCTGAGGCTGAGGCTGATGCAGGCTGAGGCTGAGGCAGGCTGAGGCTGAGGCCGAGGCTGAAGGCAGACTGAGGCAGAGGCTGAAGCAGGCTGAGGCTGAGGCTGAGGCAGGCTGAGGCTGAGGCTGAGGCCGACGGCAGACTGAGGCTGAGGCTGAAGCAGGCTGAGCTGAGGCTGAGGCACGGCTGAGCTGAGGCTGAGGCAGGCTGATGCTGATCAGGCTGAGGCTGAGCTGATGCTGAATTGGGCAGGCTGAGGCTGAGGCATGCTGAGGCCGAGGCTTAAGCAGGACTGATGTTTTGAGGCTGAAGCAGGCTGAGGGTCGAGGCTGAGGCAGTGTGGGCAGGCTGATGCAAGGCTGAGGTTGAGACAGGAGGCAGGCTGAGGCGAGGCTAAGGCAGACTGATGTTGAGGCTGAAGCAGGCTGAGGGCGAGGCTGAGGCAGGCTGAGGCTGAGGCAGGCTGAAGCTGAGGCTGAGGCAGGCTGAGGCTGAGGCTGTGACTGCGACTGCTGTTGCCACTGCGACTGCCATCGCGAATGTGACCACGACTGCGAGAACTGCAGAATTCTACAACAGGATTCTTATCTGAATCTTAAGGGGAATGCTTCCAGATATGCTCCTACACATCGCTGTTAGGTTGCTTTTGCCGGGATAATTAGTAAACCTTAGAGCCCGGAGGACAAGTTATAATACTGTTATTACAGATGGTTGCCAAGAGAGCTTGCCAGGGGCATGTTACGAGTCCATCAATATTGCCCCTGATCTACCATCCCAGGGACAAACAGAAACAAAAGCTGTCGCCGAGCGGGCACCCATGCGAACGCGCGGTGCAGATGGGAGTAGGAGCCTTACTCACGCAGGCTGGTCTTCACCGCCATAGTGGACATATGACACGCTGCGTATTTCTGCTTATGCTACAATACAAGGACCCCTGCTGAAGGGCCAGTCCAGTTGGGAACGACGCTTCGGATGCCAGTTCAATGCTCGCTTCTCCCCTCTCGATCCGCTACGTTATGTGCTCCGCCCACTGATCCGTTTTTCGCCACTGCCAAGACTGGCGGCGACCGATGATTTTCCAGGGATTATTCGGGGTATGTGCACAAAGCGGGGGGATTGGTTGGACCCGATAGTTATGTCATACCTCTGAGACAATTGGACGGACTGAATATGGAGTCAGGGCGCACTCCAGAGGGAAAACGACCCACGATCGAGAAGTCTGACCAAGTGTACAGCAACATCTTAGATGGTACTGCTGACGACCAATCGCCTCAGTTTCCTATGCGACAAGCATACGAGAGAGCGGCGACGGAGGTACGTTTCGTCACAATCCCCACAGGAACAGGAGAGGGCGCAGCCGTCTCAGACGGACCGCAATTAGCCACAGGGATAAGACCGGACAACCTGTTCAATGCTGATGATCCTGCCATTTTGGTGCCACCGCCTCCTCAGGAAGGCGAGGACGCACCGCGTATTGACTCTGAGGCCGATCTTGATGACGACGGTCCTGGGGGTTTGTATGTGGGCGATGTGCCTTTGGTAGTTGACGGCGGAGACCCTCAGCGCGATTCCCGTCCTGCAGACAAAAACCAAAAACCAGGACTCGCACAACTCGAGTATCGTTTGGACAGACAGTCCAACTTCTCAGCGGCTAAGCCGCGTGAGAAAGTCCCAGGGAAAGGGCAGCTTCTTGCCCGAACAATTCAAAATTTGGATACATTGGTATATTTCGAAGACAGACGGATTTTTGCTGGAGTTACAAAAGACGAATTATCTCAGAAACTCTCGTTGACAGGTCGTCGACAGACATGTAGCATACGAGTTGTTCTTTATTATGACCTTGATTATGTGCCTATAACCCGAGTGTGGGTCACAGACCCAGACCCAACATACAGTGCCCACTGGTTAAAGAAGTTACCCGAGTCTACCAACC